TATTTGGTGACACTGTAAGTATTCAAAAAGTAAACAAAAAGCTTTTAGAAGAAATCAATAAAATAAAACCCATCCAGAAAGTTAAAGGAAACTCAAAATTGGTGAAATCAGCGGAGAGATATTTGGAAGAACGGAGAAAAGACAGAAATTTTGGAAAAGAACTAGAACAAGTTCTATCTTCTGAACTGATTTTGGAAAAGAAATGGTTTCTCTTGAAATTTTCCCCAAATCGATCACGAATTTTGGTGACGAATCTTGTCCGGATTTCCCTTGGAACCCCATTTGTTTCCATCGTTTGTGTGATGAAAACGTTTCATAATTTTCAGCTGAATTTTTAAAGAAAAATCTCATCTTTGGATTATTCAGGTTAATTTATCTAAAATTTATTGCCTTTAATTCCTCAAGTTATTTATTTCATTGCTTTATTATTTATTTCAGTTATTTAGTTATTTATTTCATTACGCTTTAATTTGCTACTCAATGAGTTTCTTCGCTCCGCACTAGCGCCAACAATTTAAGGTAGATAACTAAACTTAAAGATAATGCGCCATAAGCTTTTACTTTGATAAATAGTTTCGAAGTTCAATATTTGCTTAACTAAACTTTTTACTAATATTTCTGCTCTGAATGATGAAAAAGCCAATTATCTGTTTGTCAATTATCTGTTTGTCAATTACTTTAATAAATTATACCAAACTTGTACATTTTCGAATACACATTTATTCAAAATCACACATTCAAAGATATAAATACCATATGTTTTTGTAGTGCTAAAAGACTGAAATTTTCCCGACAAAATTGGGCAAGAGTCGTTCAAAAGGTAAAGCCGGGGAGTGAGTGAGCAATGCTTCTTTTAACTGTGAAGATCATCTGCGCAGATGCACAGTTCAATCGAAAAATAGATCCGAAAATATCCACCGCCAACCGCTGCACATGAAGAGCATTCACAATCAGCTGGCGATCATTTATTGGGCAGAGTTGAAAGGGTGATCCTAGTAGAACAAGGAAAATGATAAGAACAATGATCAAGAAAAAACAACCATTACAACAATTTTTGTCCCATTAACAGTGCTGCTTGATTGACCAATCCGAGTCTTTCTGGCATTCGAACTTAGCACAAAATTAGCAAAATAGGATGCAAAAACAATTTAAGCAACAGTACTTTGAACTAAAAACTAGATCTAAAGCAAACCCTGATGTTAGTTTTCGGTGCATAATGGCCGGGGCAGGGATCGGTGTCCGTGCAGAGATTCGGCAAGAGTGGTTTACAAAGCTGAACTCCCAGACAATCGGCATCGCTGTCACAAAGGCTCATCGTCGCCTACAAAGTGTGTATTGACATAGCACAAGCTACTAGATTCTTGCACATTGTCCTGTCTTGAGTGCACCAAGTGCATGTAAGCTTCGGCTTCTTATTTGACTAGGTTCTTCAACCAGATCTGGTGCTACTAGCTTTTGCTTATTTGACTTCATTCCCTCTATTTCTCGTTGGATTTGATTGGCAACCTTTGAAACATTGAGCATTGTATTAGCCAAACTTTCAACTTTTACTGGAATCGCATCGAACTTGTTATTGATGTGTTCTCTTACATCTCCGAGCCGTTTTCGCGCCAGTCCTTCTAAACCGCACGTAAATAGGGTTCTAACTATGTTTCAGAGAGTGGAAAGGGTGGAAATGGGGAATAACTTTACTCGACTACGGTAGCCGGGGCGCGCAATAGGATATGTGCGCTAAATGAGTACTGGTCAGCACAAGAAAGAAGAAAATGAAAAGATTTCATGGTTTTTATGGTTTTACAATGAAAGATCCTTCATATTTAGCTATTTTAAAGACTAATTCCAAGTATAATTACTTTTCTAGTGAAATTTCACTTTTGAAAGAGAAAAAGACTCATTTTTAAACGTTTTCTTATCAATAGATTGTTCATCCAAAAAACCCGACGAATCACTTCCAAAAATTTTTTCTCTGTGACCATTTATTGACTTTTCCCGATTCTGATCACTTCTGTTACATTTTTTCTTAAAATTTTGAAATTTTCTTGACATTTGATGTTATCCTTTTTCGAACAACCAACTGAGCCGATATTTTGGGGAACAGTAAGTGGAAAGTTAAGATATCACACAATTCTTTTAGGTTATTGCTAGCGGTTTACTTTTTCTCATAGTTTTACCGATTTCCATTTTTTTTCTTGCTTGGAGATGGAAACCAGTGAAATCGTTCATTTTACAAAAATCGGATAAAACTTCGTCAAGGTTCGTTGGAGGAAAATTTTGGTTTTGATTTGGAATATTTATGATATCCTACTTCTAGCTAAAGTTAACAAAGCTGCTTTTTCTTAATCTTGATCCAAGATTCTCACCCTCATTTAGCCCGTTTTTTGAAAACTCTTCTGATATGACCACTCTTGGAAGCTATGTGCCAGAAAGTGTCACTACGAGTCTACTCAGTCAGAGTGTAGACCTAAAATGTGAGATTTTAAAGGTTTAGGAACAGTACAAGCTGATGAATTTTAGATGATTATCGAACTAAACAATTAATGAACGAAGCTCAACCAAATTCCTCAGAAGAAGTGCAGGTTGAGCAAGTTGTTGACGAACTAGAAGATAAGCCTTTGGAAAGAGTTTGCAAGATTAATCATGAAGGTATACAAAAGCTTTAGTTGAGCTATAACGATATTGCTGAAATCGATCCATCTCGACTCCAGATAGATGAGTCACAAGTCGTATGAGTCAACCAAAATTTGTTTAAGTTAAAAGATTCAGATTGGTGGTGGATGCTTTGGTCTTGTGATTAAGGGTTTTTTGGATGGAGAGGCTGTGGCTGTAAAGGTTTGCATTACAAGAAAGAAGCTCTTTTTTAATCCCTTTCAAATTATGATTCAAGTTTATGATTTGTTTTGGTCAGCTTCGAGATTTGCATTGGAAATCAAAGCCTTCATTAAATGGATTTTTAATATTTTTTTCAATTCTAAAGATCCAGACGTGTCTCCTTTCTCTGATTATCAGGCTTTTACTTCAACCAACTTATCCTAGGTGGCCAGCAAAGGCAGGAATGGAAGCGCTTGGTACAGAATGACTCGAGAATTGCTGTATCAAGAGATTTGTCTTCTTTCTCTCATGTTTCAACACGAGAATATTCTAAATTTTAAGGGTGCGATTACTGAGAACTGGGAGAAAGGGTAAACAAATGTTTAATGATTTCTACCAAAAATTCAGTAAATCATTGCTAATGATTATGGAGCTATGTGATGACAATTTATACGAAATCGTCACTAAAACTAAAGAAGATGACCTTTTTGTTGATGAACTTGTTTTGGGGGTTTGTTTGATAAGGATTCCTTTTCAAACGATTCAGGACGCACAACTTGATGCAAGAGGCTATCAAGTGGATAACAAAACGAGCTACAAGGTATTGAAGATTTAAAGCTTAAAGCCAATTCTTACTAAAACCGGCAGGTAGATGGAGTAAAGGTTCGTTAAAGGGAACTTGTAAATGAATTTATCTATTAGGTTTAAATTAATTAAATCTGGACTGAATTAGGACCGGTTCTTGAGGGCTCCGATCAATTGATTTAATAAAATGAATAGCTCCATTCGATTCCCCGGCCCCGAAAACCCCTGCTTACAAATTTACAGCTCCATGGCTTCTCTTTTGTACCATCTACAAAGCAAAAGAAAAATCACGGTGTTAAATGACTGGCGAGGTGTTCTTTGCGCGGCCGCGTAAACGCTCGAGGTCTGGTAAACAGTTTTAGTATAAGGCGCTTCCCTTTCGGGTCAGAGAAGACCCGGTCTGGTCGCTTTGGACGCCACTACACCCAATCTGGTAATCTGAGGGTGCCAGATCTGGACTATACGACGGATGCGGGAGACATTTCCAACCCAATTCCTCGAGTTTTTCCTGCGTCTTCTTTGCGGTGTGTGGGCGCGCGTTATCTTGCAGATATCTCACAGTCGATGTGTTTACACCTTGATTCTTGACAGCCTGGTCTACTCGTTCCAGCTATTGCACATATAGATCTGAGGTGACTGTTGGACGAGAAGGTAGCACCTTAAAGTGTATAAGACCACGGGAATTCCACCAAACAGATAACATAGCCTTCCTTCCATGCGGATCACGTTGTGGAGTCGTTTTTGGCTGTACTCCTGGACTTAACCACTGCCGTTTTCGCGATGGGTTATCGTAGTAAATCCATTTTTCATCGTCACAATAGTGTCCCAAAAACCTTGATTTTTTGATTGACGAAGAAGAATACCGGCCATAGTCACTCGAGTAACTTTATTAGCGTCACTAAGTTGACGGGGTACCCATTTTCCGACGAGATTCGCTTTACCCAAACGATGTAAATGGTCCGCAATTGTTGTGTGACCTACAGCAAACATTGTTGCAAGTTCCCGAGTCGACAAGGTTGGATCATCTTCTATGGTTTCTCGAAAGTCGTCATCGTTGAGCGTTGGAGGGGGGTGACCACGTTCTCGATCCTCTAGAATTTCGTCTCCCTCTCTAAATCGTTGAAACCATTTTTTACAAGCTTCTTCTGAATAAGCAACTTCTCCAAAAACTTTAAAGATTGAACTATGGCTCTCCCGGACACTTTTTCCTTGTTTGAAGTGTTTGAAGAAGCAAGCACACCCGAATTCGGTACTTCTGATCTCCCATTCTAAAAAAAAGCCAAAATTATAAGGCAGTAAATTTTTATAAACATAGAATTAGAAAAGATATATGACTTTAAAACAAAACAAAAATTAGACGCGACGCTGTTCGCTACACCGAAAAAATTTCAATCGAAGTTGAGGGTATTTTCATTCCGGACACCCTAATATATTAACGTCGACAATTTGGTTCCACTTAGTGTGAATCGGTCACAATTTACCCCGGCCCCCTCAACGATCAAAAATCAAGTCTTCAGTTTGAAATTGATGGCTCAATAACAATCACGAAAGACCCCCAACTCTCCACCTCGGATTTGCTTTCTTTTGCCTATCAAACGGCAAAAGGCATGCAATTTCTTAGCTCAAAACAGGTCTGTTTTACTTTTCTTTCCATTTTCCCAAATTTTCAGTATGTCCATCGTGATTTGGCCACAAGAAACTTATTAGTAAAGAAATGCGAAAGCGAGTGGATTGTGAAAATTTGCGACTTTGGTTTGGCGAAGGAGATTAGGGAAGCGAAAAGCCACTATTCACGGTGAGTTTTCGGAAAATGGAGAATTGAATGCATGATTTTGAACGTGATAAATCCAAAAAGTTAACAGTCATTTTGTTTTCAGAAACGGTTTCGCCCAGCCACTCAATTGGATGAGCCCCGAGGCATATGCGCATAAAAAGTACACCTCTGCAGTGAGTGTTTTGAGATGAAATAACAAAAAGGAAGGTTGTACTGGATCAAGGAAAGCTCAGGTAAGGCTGGAGTCGGGCCTGGCTTGGCTTGGCTGCAGTTCTAGCCTAGAAAAATCTCCTGGACTCGCAAAACGGCCTGGACATGATCCTGACCTCAGGCCGGACTCTAGACTTGCCCATGTTACAAAAATAGACTCGAATCTAGATCTTACTATCGATAAAACTTGAAGTCACCATTTTCCTTAGCCATTTCTAGGCTGACGTCTGGTCTTTTGGCATCGGTTTATATGAGCTTTTCTCACTCGGTGGAACACCTTACGGAAACAAAACCGAGCAAGAAATCCAGAAAGAATTATCGACAGAAAAGGAGAAATTGACGACAAAAAGGCCACCATATTGTCATCAAGAATTGTGAGTTCTTTGAAATCTTTCAAGTATCTCGTTTCAGATTCAACTTCATCGAATGCTTTTGGTACTATGATGCAAGCAGACGGCCAAGTTTTGAGGTAACTAGGTAGAGCTTCTGAAGAATTACAGAAAATGTTTAGAATTGTGTTAATGAACTGAAAAGCCATCTACAAAGAGCCAATCCACAGGTAAGGATAAGGAAAGATTGAGAACAATGGATAAAATTACATTTAGAAGTTGAAACGACTTGATGGGATCAATGATTGATCAAAATTCTCGAAGAATATTTATTGCATCAATATTTGCAAATTCCTTGGCTTTGACAGACTAAAATTTGGATTTGAACATCAATATCAAAAATAAATAAACATTGCGTATAGCATCGTTTAATTTCTTTCCCAAGTTGCGACTCTTTTTGATTGGGAAAACAGTTTTCTCCCGGCTGACAATCGACCTAGCATTTCTGTAATGTTAATATTGCAAAATTTTCACAGTTTTCTGATTTCTCAAGGATTTTCTTATCAGTACATCCGAATGAATAAAAACGAAAACTTGGCATGATGCAAATATAATATCCATAAAATGATTGCTCTTGACAGTGCTCCTCTAGTCGGCGCGATTGATGAAAGCATTGCTGAAAACAGGCCCGTAACAGGGAGGAAGGGCAAAACTTATCATTTTCAAAAAGTTTGTTCCCCAAAGCTGGTATTTCTTTCTTCTTCTAATAAAAAAATAAGCGATTTTTCTTCAAGAATTTGAATTTTTGTCAAAAATCTGCGCCAAAGTTAGAAAAAAGCTTAAAATTTGCATTCAATACTAAAAAATTGGGCTCTTTCCGTTAATGAATGTTCTTTTGAAAGTTTCGTGGTCTTTGTCAAAAAAAAAGTCCGTTTCGTGGACTTTTGCAATTTTTTGTTTTTTTTTTACGAAAAAGTCTTTTAAAAGTGTTTTAAGGTATTTTATTCCACATCCACATTTAATAAAAATTTAAAAAACAATCGTAAGAACAACAATTTTAGACTAATAATCAGACATATAGAAAGTCGGGCAAAATAACAGATGTCAAGGAATTTAAGGTTACAGATAAGCGATTCATCCATGTAGCCAAGGATTTTTCCCATCTTTTTTTCCCTGCAACTTTTCGCTCCTTCATTTTCTCTAAATAAAGGAGGTCAGCTCCCTTGGCCATTCAATTGTTTCCATGAATTTCTCCATACTCGGCTTCTCGTTATTCAGCATTTGATATGCTCTTTCAAAAGCATAAAGTGTCCTCTTGAAAACCCGATCATCTTTCAATCCACTAAAGTATTGACTTTATCATTTTTTTCAATGTATAACCTGGCCAAGTTTGGAGATCCATAAGGGTCCTTGACAAAAATATTATCCTGGTTTTTCTTGCCCCTTAATTTTGCATCGTTTTCAAAGCCACATTTGGAGGTTTTCACCTTGTTTTCAAGTAGCTAAACAGGTTTTCAAGTAGCTTTGTCTAAAAGAATCAAGAATTTTAGTCTCAAAAAGAACTTGACAATAAAATGGAGGTGATGAGTCGAATTGAGAAAATCATTGAAAGGGTAAGTTATGCGGAAAATCATTTTTTCAAGTCATGGGGATTTGATTTAAAGAAATTGACTGAAGTAAAAATAAAAATGTCATTGATGAAAATAGGTAAATACTTCAGGCAGTGCCGAATGTGAAACTTCGGTTGTATCCATACGGCTCAACGACGAATTGCTGCGGGGCAAAGGATTCGGACATCGATATTTACCTGAAAGCCACCACAGAGATACAACGGAAACACTTCCTAAATGGAATTCTCGGGTTAATTTGTGATTTGAACTTTGCTTTAGCAATATCTAAACCAATTTAAGAACACCATCTCATATAAAATTGGATAAAGATTTCTTTAGTTTTCTCGGGCTTATGGAAACCCAACTGAAAAAGAAATTCGAGAGTGATTTCAAGGAGTTGGAGCTCAGAAATGCAGCGGTATTCCTTGCAAATCTACAAACACTATTGTATTTTCAGGTTCCAAGCATTAACATAATATTTGGCGATAAGTATAACAGGCTCGAAGTTGATCTAAATGGAACATCCAACAATGGCATTATTGCGTCATATCTTTTTCGCCAATATGCAAAGTTTGCTCAGCAATTTCATCTGCAATTTAAGTTCTAGAATCGATTCTCGTTTTGCCCAACTTGGATTGCTGATTAAGAGCTGGGCGGAGAAGAACAAAATATATGGAAGCGATAATGGAGGAATGAATGGGTTAGATTTTTAAAGGCCTGGAAAACTTGTAGTACCCACCTTGCATCGAATCAAGCTTTAAATCGCGATTAAACTTCTTTAGCTATTCTTACTTGGTGATGCTGGTTCACTACCTCCAAAAAGGAGCGAGTCCACCCGTATTGCCAAATCTTCAAAAGCTGTATCCCGATGAGGTTGTGAAATTCTAAGTTCGTTACCAATTGAGATTCAGTTTCGTATCGGACGCGATTTGGAGGAGATCAAGTTTGGGAACGAAGAGGAGGATCAATTGACACAAAACAGTACTGCTTTTAAATTTCTTTCACACAATTCTATTCAGCTTCAAAAAATGAGTCGTCTGTTGTCGATTTGTTGATCGGTTTTTTCAAATATTATAACAATTTCTCTTGGAGAACCGAAAAGATCACAATGGATGAGGATTTGGTTGTGAAAAGGTGAAAATTCCAAATGTAGCTTTGAAAACGATTCAAAATTAAGGGGCCAGCGTAACAGGGATTACATTTTTGTCAAGGACCCTTATGGAACTCCAAACTTGGCCAGGTTATACATTTAAAAAAATGATAAAGTCAATACTTTAGTGGATTGAAAGATGATCATGTTTTCAAAAAGACACTTTATGCTTTTGAAAGAGCGTATCAAATGCTGAGTAACGAGAAGCCGAGTATGGAGGAATTCATGGAAACAATTGAATGGCCAGAGCATCTTGACCGGCTTTACTTAGAAAAACTGAAGAAGCAAAAAGTTCCACGGAAAAAAAGACGGGAAAAATCCTTGGCTACATGGATGAATCGCTTATCTGTAACCTTAAATTCCTTGACATCTGTTATTTTGCCCGACTTTCTAGATGTCTGATTATTAGTGAGAATAAACTTGGCACTTGATTTGTGATTGGTTCATTTTTACAATCTTTTTTATCCGGACTGCTTGATTAAATTCATTTTGCGATCAATTTGGCCAAGATGAAAACGAAATTTTGTAATAGATATTTGGTCGTTGCATATGAAATTTCAGTGACTTTACCTTGCCTCAACTTTCTCATTTTACCATGGATTTCTTTCATTTTTTGCAATTATATAATAGACACATGAGAGATATTATGAGAGACACTTGATAAAGCTTTGTACTGGTATCGTGGTGCAAAAAAACATGATATGCCTTATTGATCAGTGTTCTCTTGGAAAAAAAGGAGACTTCTTTAAAAAAAAGGCGAATCCTTTATCTACAACAGATTATCATATAATGTAGATGAATAAAGTTTTTGGCTAAAAATCTTAGTTTATTTATTAACTCTAATATGACACCACGATGTCAATACAAAGTTTTGATTTGATGGCAAAAGTCTTATGGTGGCAAAACACGACCGAGAAAAGAAGCCGTACAGACAGACTAACAAACAGACAAACAGATGCTACTTTTTTAGATCTTGGTGGCATGGCATGGCATGGTGGCACTCACAATCTCACGTACAGGGTGTCAGTGCCACCATGGCTCTTACTGCCACCATAAGACTTTTGCCATAAAAGTAAAATAAAAGTAATGGTGGCGGGAGCCATGGTGGCATTGACTGAGCCAAGCCTGAGCCTGATTGCAGATTTTTAGGGTTCTTTTCGAAAATATCGTATTTATTTCTAATAACCGCCGCACTAAACTGACGAAGCTCCGCCCACTTATCAGAAAGACAAAACGTTGCGCCAAATTGCGGATTTTTAACTTTAAATTTCTGAAACTTTGCCAGAACTTGCACTTTCTATAGGCGCATCTATAGAAATAAAAGAAATTTTGCTTTATTCATTGCTGAGAAAACTCAGAAACTTTGAAAAACAATGATGCGTAAATGTTTAAGTTTTCTCAGAAATGTTTAAAGCAAATTCAATTGCTTTTTGCTTTTTTCTATAGATGCCTCTATAGAATTTGGATATTTTGACAAAGTTTCAGAAATTGTAAGTTAAGAAACCCGCAATTTGATGTAACGTTTTGTCTCTCAGGTGAGTGGGCGGGGCTTCATCAGTTTAGTTAGAGTTATTTTAGTAGAACTAGTTATTAGAATTAGTTATTATTATTAGAATTATTAGATTATTAGGTTATTAGGTTATTATGTGAAAATAAATGAAAATTTGCGTAAAAGCGAACCTGCTCAAAAACGCTGGCATCTTTGAAACCACGGCCCAAGCAGGTCACTGTCGTTCGCTCACAACTTCATAAAAGCATATCGTCATTTCTCTAATAAACGCCCGTCCAAACCCGGAGACAAACAGGCAGACAAACAGACAGACAAACAAACAGACAGACAGGCAGACGTCTCTTTTGTTTTATAAATAGTAGATACTGTATTTCCTCTAATAAACGCTTCTTCCTTGACCAACTTTGAACGCTCCTTTCTCAGCCCCATTTTGAGATGTTTTTATGCTTAATATACCAAAAAAATAGAAAACCTTAAGGGCTATTTTTTGGTATATTAAACATAAAAATATCTCAAAAGGGGGCTGAGAAAGGAGCCTCCAAAGTAGATCGAGAAGGGGCGCTATTAGAGAAAATGATTCAAGGTTGGGCAAGTGTTTTCTTTGAACAATGCAGGTTTTTTAGGTTAAATTTGATCGAAAATCGAAAATCGAAAAAAGTCAAAATTGGCACTACGGGGATTCGAACCCTGTCCTGCTAGTTACAGATCTCAAGAGCTTAAACATTTTTTGATTTACGTAGCTTCAATTGCAAGTTTCAGTTTGCTAACAATAAGTCAAAAAGCGAGAAAATTGGTTAGGCGAAGAAACTTCATAAGTTCCGCAGAGTAGCACCCTAGCCGCTAGACTAAAGAAGCCGCTGAACTAAAGAAACTCTCCTTGTGGCCGCCAGATAAAGTGAATTGTGCGAAATTGAGCAAATTGAGCAAATTTGAGAGAATTGCAGTAAGAGAACCGCCTAAGTGCAGCCCCAACGATGCGCCATTACGGCTAAATGTCTCACAAAGCCAAATGTAGACACACAAACTTGCATATAAAGCCCAAGTTTGCATACGAAATCGCGAAAAACCATTGGTTTTGCATCCTTTCGGGGTCAAAAAAGTCATTTTTTAAAGCAAATCTATGTTGAAAATGCAAAATTCGTGATTAGCGTCGTCGATTACCCCGGCAAAAGAGAAATCGAAGATATAGGTGGCCCCCCAACCACCAAAGTACCCTTCTTTCTTCTAATTAATTGCTCAATTTTCAGGTCGATGAACGCTCGCAATCAGTTCAACTTCCTGGATGAAGAGGACCAATATTGGAATGAGAACGGATCGACGAACTCTTCGTTTTTCGATGATCGACGACCGAACGAGCTGCTCGCGAAGCATGAATTGACGAGAATGGCCATGGATAATTTATTCGAAGATGTGAGGACACCATGTGAGGCGTCGACCAGCAAACAACCACCACCACCCCCTCAATCAGCCCAAACTACTCCTACTTGGAAAAACAATGTTGCGTTTAGTGCTCATCAGATCAGATCAGCTATCACGACACCACTGAAAATGGAGGCGCCAAGGCTTCCACCGAAAGCTCCATTTCCCGATATTGGATTGAAACCAGCGGCCTCGGTTGTGTCAATTGCTCCATCGGAATGCAGCGTTTCGTCGTTTCCTTCTGACGCACAACAACAGGAAATCGATTACAATAGGTTGAAAAACGAACACCGCAAATTGCAGCGACACTTTGAGATGATACGCGCTGAGCGGTATAAAGCGCCCGATGTGCGTGAGACGACGCGAAGATTGTTCATGAATGAGCCGGTGACTTTGGATTTGTACAAGTCAAAGGCGGAGAAACTTGCTCTACTCGACGCGGCTATTGAAATGATTGATGGGAATGTGATCCTAGCCGTTGTGTTTTTCATTCAACGAACTGTTTCCGAGTCAATCTTTCGAGAGATTTTACTGCAAAAACCGAAAGCCGCTGAGCAGTACATTCAGTATTTGAAAGATGCAAAGAATGTTGACGAGTTAATGACAACGATGTGTGCATTGGGGAGGACCACTGAAGCGGCTATGATTGAGTTCAACGTTGCTATGGAGGCAAAAACAGTCACTCAGAAAGTTTTCCTCCTGAAGAAAGCCTTGGGGTCAACGTTTTTGGATCCAAATCTTCAAATGGAAAGAGAACAAGTGAGGAAGTACTTGGATTTGGTCGAAAGACAAACACAAATCAAGGCCGCTGACTCACAAGACAAGTCGAAGTTGTTCACCGATTACCCGAAAAACGCGTCTCTGATTGGACAACCAGCAACCCACACTTTGTATTACTCTTGTCTGTATCATCACGATGATCCAACCACTTCACAGCAGGCATCACCGCAAGCAATCAAAGATCTTTGTCATTTGAATGATAAACAATTGACATGGATGTCGATTCAAACGCTAGTGAAACAAAATCGATGGCTTGACATTGAAAAGGCGCTGTGCCCCCGCAGTTTGCTTCCAAATCTTGGCAAAACAAGCGGGTATTTAAATCACCGATGATTCAAGGTTGGGCAAGTGTTTTCTTTGAACAATGCAGGTTTTTTAGGTTAAATTTGATCGAAGGACGAGCCGAGTGCCCACATGAGGTCAGGCCACACAGAAGAACTTCGTTTGATTGAGGTACTTGTTTTGTTTGTTGATTTAGTTGTATTTTTATGTTTAATTTTTAATTAATTTTTAGATGTTTACGACCCGGACAAGACGGAGAAACAAAGTCGCTTGCCTCTACGTGCGGCCATGCGGTGATGCGGCACGGTACACTCTCCTTTTCTCGCACGGAAATGCTGTCGATCTCGGACAAATGAGTAGTTTCTACTATGGACTTGGATACCGCTTGGGATGCAATGTGTTTAGCTACGATTATTCAGGTTTGGTTTTATCCTAAATTTGCTAATAGATAGGACTTGACATTTAAAGATTATAAAAAGTTTTTGACTAATAAACAAGAAAGTCTTTATTAAGTTAATGAACTTTTTAAATTTCCAGGTTATGGTTGCTCGACTGGTAAAGCTAGCGAGAAGAACCTCTACGCCGATATTCAAGCAGCTTTTGAGGCTCTCCAAACAAGGTTCAAACAAACTTCTTACTTTGCAAAATCTTTTGAATAATAATTTTATGTTTACATTTGGCTTATTTTAAAGTTTAGATATGACATTCCTGCTGAGCGGGTGATTCTCTACGGGCAAAGCATCGGAACGGTGCCTTCAGTGGATTTGGCTTCGAAACACCCCGATGTAGCTGCTTTGGTGATTCTTTTTGCACATTTCTTCATTTATAAGCTTTCAGATATTACATTCTCCTTTGATGTCCGGAATGCGAGTTGCTTTTCCGGGGACACAACGGACTTGGTGTTGCGATGCTTTTCCTTCAATAGGTTTCACTTCATTTCTTATAGAGTCTACTTTGTATTTTAGAAAAAGTACCTCGGGTCACTTGTCCTACTCTTGTTATACATGGTACTGATGACGAGGTAAACTGGGTTTATAGTTTTAGTACTAAACTTTCAATTAGGTTATCGACTTTTCACATGGAGTCTCGATTTATGAGCGATGCCCAGCTTCAGTGGAGCCGTTATGGGTGTGTTTTCTGAAAATACTTGATCGATTTTGACGAAGAGAATATCTATTGTTTTAAGTTGTTTGATTCTTTATCTAAAGCTTGTTTTAAGGTTGCCGGCGCTGGGCACAGCGATGTGGGGTTGCACGCGGCTTACTTGGAACGACTACGACTCTTCATCGAAAATGAGGCCGGCAAGAAACCAGCCACCACCCAAGCTTATCAACCAAATGGGTTTGTTTTTGTTTCAATCAGGTAAAAAAATCAGAATACACCGCAAAACTTCATTTTCTGAAAATATTGCCGTTTTAGAGCCATCAAAAGTACGCGTAACAACGACTCGGCTCGAACTGCATAAATGCGAATCTAATTTTTCTTCTAATCCTTCCTCGCTTAATACATGTACGAGCTTTGTTGGCAATATGGCAATATTCTTTGTTTGTTATAACTAAATATATTTGCTAAATATAAATAAATATTATAACTAAATATAAATATACTAAATAAATATAGCACAACTATTCGACAAATAAGAGGCAAACCGCTGTTGTTTTCTCCCAAGACCTCGAGTAAAAATTCAAATTGAAAAACCGTAAATAACTTATAGCCTAAACACTTTTGGAAACTTGATCATTCTTAAACCATACTTGAGCGTGATCAATTTGACGTCCACAGTGCTTCAAGATCTTTGCGACAGCAGAAATAGCGTTCTCGGTAGCACTGGTGCCTCAAAATAAAGTTACTTCTGTATTTGCTGCCAGTTACAAACCTTCCTCAGCTGCACGAGCATCAGGTTGGTTCATTTCAGCCAAAAGTAGAAGCACTGCACGCAGATATCGGTGAACAGTGTGCCCCGAAGAGCCATAACTTCTAAAGTAAAAAATAAAGTTAGCACGGCAGTTTTTCCTTGACAAATCCATACGCCGTAGCCTGTCGCACTTCAGGGTGCTGATCTTTTAAGCACTCCACCAGACGAGGAGCAAAAGCTTGCTGGATGAGTTGTGCTTCCTAAATAAGTGATTTTATAAACAACGCGTCCACCACGCTAGCATTTTACTTTTGGTGCAAACTCGATCAAATCGTCTACCATGCAAACAGCCCATTGACCATCAGTGTAATCGCGACTTTGATCAATCATCACAATAATACCAGGAATAATCGATTGAACCGTTGGATAAAAAGTTGGACCGAACGACTAAAATTAACCATTTAAACTTTGGAATTGATCTAAAAGTCAACCTTAAAGCAAGCATGAAAGAGATTCGACACGCATCCAAGCAAGTTAGCATCACTTTCTTGATCTTCATCAGCCTTATTGTGTGCGTCTTCTGGATCAGCATCTTCATACACCAACAAACAAAAAGACTTCGCTAGTTTAGACTTGATAGCCAACCTCTTTAGCTTCTCGTTGATTACGGCGTTCCTCGAACTTCGTCAACTGACAGCAATGTGACAGTTCCAAGCAATGTGACAGCTTCGGCGATGGAATTCATTTGTTCCGCAAGGACATCTAGATCGTTCTCGGAATCCAATGTGCTCCATAGTCGCATAGTAGGTCTAAACAAGTATTTAGTCAAAATGCATTCTTAGAAAAAAAGCTCCACCTGCCCGAGTGGATACATTACTTCAGGTCCTTGTTCCTTGAAACACTCCAAAAACGCTGGCAACATTTCAGCCGATGACTCCCTGACTCCGAAGTTCATTCGTAAATATTAATTCATGTGTTAACAAACCTTCATGGGACACGAACTTCAAATTCTTGAGGACATGTGGCAGCACTTGCCAGGCTTAAGGACCAAACAGTTCTAAAAGTGCATAGAATTCGAATCAATAGTCCCAAGCTTGCATACCTTTCAACTCTCTAGCCTAGCAGACGAGCATTTCGCAAGTCTTTTCCTCAATTCCAGCCGTTCTGATTCCGAACGGGCGATTGTCATCAACAGTCGTGAACGACCATGCATGATCATTTTCATGATCATTGGCTTCCGAGTCTACAATCTATGCTCTTCGAACATTTGATAACAGCGACATACCGTCAACAACAGTCATTTCGGGGAGCATACCCGATGTAGACAATGGTCCAAGAACCTAAAACCCTCCGGTAAATTACCTTGCAAATGCGGGTCCATGAGCTGATCCTGTAAGTGGTTTGTGGATTATCAGGTGGAAGATTGGCCTAAAGAAACTTCACTAAGGACAACAGCATTCATAAACCAACATCGTATCAGCAAGCATGTTCATAATTTCCTGCCCGTCATTTGCAAACTTCTCCCGCCCAACAGGACGCCCAATTTGTGACACACATTCGATCGTCTTGCCTCGAAGTAGCTAAACGGACTTAAAGAAGTTAAAATATAAATGGGATACCTTGTAGTCGTCGCCACTCGAGTTTTGCAAGATGAACTTTAGGGGCCCAATCATTCGATCGTAATTTTGAATGAATTCAGTCTGAGCCGCATCCGCCACTTCAATAACATCACTTCTAAAAAGGTACGTTTCGATCATAAAACCTGACGCAATAGTTGTTATCACTTGCTCGATAACCAATTTCTTGTTTTTCTCAAGTCGATGTTTGAAAGTCGCTTCCAAAACTTGCTCGAAGGAGCTCATCATCTAAAATAATAGCTCGTTTGATTAAAGTTAGATAATACTCATATCAGGTAAATAATTGGAGATGGTGTTCTTGGGGCACTCCTCGCTGAAGTTGACCAGAGCTGCACCAGCATGTGCGGCCACACGCATCACCGATAAGTACAATAGAGTGTGAACAAGAGCAGGTACAACCTAATACAAAGGTACGAATTCAAAATTAAAACTCTTTAAAACCTCGTGGCATTTCTTCTGAAGAGTAGGCTCAAAATCGGTCGACATTTGTCCTAAAAATAAACTTAACCACTTTGTTAGAAGGAATAGCTCTTACCCAAGGCGTTGCACGGTGCGTAACAAACACGCGGATGCTAAAACCGAAATTTGTATAACTTTCTGCCAAGTAACAAACCTCATCAAGGAGATACGGGATAACTTTGCCAACAATCTCCACAATCTTTGCCTCCATCACCGACTTGCAACCCTCGCCAATTCTCGATACTGTGAAAATGGCCGCATGTCGTTTCTTCCAATCACCTAAGCAGGAAATAAATAACTTCTTGAAGAGGAAGTCATGCCATTGTTGAGAAGTTGCGAAACCATTGCCAACCCCGGCTGAAAAGTGGCCTTGACACCCGAAGCACAGCAGATTCGATCCAATGACGTTTCTCCAAGAGCAGCATTATCTTCTTCGATATCCTCGCAGCATCGTCCATGGAAAGCCATTCAAACAATTAAATTTGAGAAATATTTATATCACAATTTACCTTCTGTCTCATCTTCCAAGTCCGCCATAGAGAGAATACAAACTTCCACTAAAATAAAGCAGATAATAGTAAATAAAAAGGCTTTAACGTACACATGGCTCTTTTCTTGATCATGTTTGGTGCTGCCTCGCAAAAATATGGGATGGTCTCCAGGGCTATATGATGGTAGGATTCTTCCAATTCAGTCTTATTTGTGATTTGGGGGATTGTCGTAAGTTCTTGTAAATCAATACTCGTTACAGACGTGTTGTTTTTTGAAAGTGTACTTTGCTGAGTTTTTGCCAGGTGAGGGTCTTTTCATGGATTGTGAGGATAAGCATCATCCTGCATAAGACACCAAATCCTATTGCTAAAGTGATTTTTGGCTCATGAAAAAAGGTCTTTCTCATTCGAGATCGTCGTAGTCGTGGATCGACAACAGGCCTCAAAAGAAACCCTACAAGGAGCGCCGACTTTTTACGATCAGTAATCATGTAATCCTTATTGGTTTAAACTTTTATTGAAGGAACATCGTCAAGGCGGGCATAATTACATTACACGATGTTTTACAAAAAAATTACATTACATGATACATTACAAAAGAAAAAGGATAGTGGACCAAAATGGTCTTAAACAAGGAAAAAGGAGGCAGACATGTGGCGCACAAAAGAAACGAAATCACTACAGTTCAGGCAAAAGAGAATTCCAATCAGATGATTTCTGCACAAGTTTCGACATCGCTGTATCCTTTTCGTATTCAATTTTGAACTTCGAAGCTAAAAATAAAAACTGGTTTGAATAGCTACAAAAACATTTACTTAAAAAAGAATTTAAAAAACGACCTGGAAGCACATCAGCTAGAATCGTAGCTTTAGCATTGTTCAAATTGACTTCCGTGTTCATCGGGCCGGCCACTGCTGGTTTGTAGGGATTCGCTTTTCTTTTCGGCCATTCTTTCTTACGCGCCCTGCCGGCGATTTCATCGGCCTAAAATTCATGAAAAATCAAATCAACTACAAATTAAGCTATTAATCATGTTATAAATTATATTGTTTAAGCGATTACTTGTTGATTGCCAGGATCTGTCTCGTGACCTTTGATCCACTCAAAGACGACTCCTTGAGGGAATAGATGTGCTACGTTTTGGAGATTCAACAGACTAAACCCAAAATATAGAAGAATATAAACTCAAGGACAAACTTCTCTTTATCCGCTGAGCTCAATTCATAAACTCGATCGCCATTTCGCAACGGCATTTTCTCGTGCTCGCCCCGACTGAGGTTGCCCACGGCCTTGATGAGATCCAAGCAGTCGGTTCTCACCACCACTTTTTGACCCCTGTATGATTCAGCATTTTTTATACACAAAATTTGCTCTAAATTATAATTACGCAAATAAATAGTACGTACTTGTAACCTTTCCAAATACGTAAACGATGCAATCCCATGTTGGCGGCGAGTGTTTCAGTGGCAAATGCGTTCGCGACCTCAAAATCGATGGGAAATCCACTAAATTTCAGAGCATTTTTAAGTTCGTATTGACCGATTTCAATTTTAAAGAGCCATAAAATATTTTATTATTTAAAGTTCACTTAAAAACACCTAAAAAGACTTACAAATTGAGCGGGTGACATTTCCCAAAGAAATTTCCGAGCGCTGCCTTGAACTCTCCACGCGGTCCAACTTCTTCACAAAAAGCTCCATCGGAATATAAGTAGATCGTATTTGACTCGAAACTTTGATTAAGCAGCACACCTTTGCTACTGCTCAATTGTGACGTCTGTGTCCAATTCTCTGGGAATCCTGTAAAAAACAAAGCAAATGACCATTGTTTAGAACATTCTTAACTTATTTAACAAATAACTTTCAAAACGTACCATAAGCGACTTTCGTGTATTTCGTGTTCTTCTGGTAGTGTGACCAAACATCCATTTCCAGCTTCAACCACTAAAATCATAACAGCCATAAATTTAGTTGTTGCATCAGAAAACTTACCTTGTCTATTTCTTGCTTGGAACTCAGGAACTCAGGTTTATCCTTTGCGGACTTTCCTGCAGGCTCCCTTTCTTCATCTTCTTTTGAACGATTTTCAAGTAGTGGCTCTGAAACGAGAAGAGTGGTAACATTTAAAAAGTCAAAATTAAGAAAGATAACAATCCTGAATTTCACCAATTTTTTAGTTTCAGATAACTATTTCTGCAATGGATATTTCTGAACACACGTAAAATATTGCAAGAAACTTATAAAAAATCTATAAACTAGCGCAAGAACACTAGTTAGCAAAACATATCAAAACAATATATTTTCCATGAAAAGCTGTGGGAAATTCAAGGTTGCGAAAATAGCGATTAATAAGAAAAATCAAAGTAAATCGCGAAAAAGGAAACAAACCTTTCCATGTACAAAGACGTTTAATCCAACGAATGAGGAAACAGCTACGACCGAGAAACATTTTCAAAATGTTTTTGACTGAAAAAACAATTTGTGATCAATGCGCCTTAAATGCAAATTTTAAAATATCAAATTTAAATTATTTTAAATTATCAAAGAAATTTATCTTCCGACCCTCTTTTCCGGAAGAGCTCTGTAACGCGAGATATTTGGCGTACAAAATTGCTTCAATGCTCCGTTTCCAGTCGCGGAAGTCAAAACCTAAATATTATATATTTTGGATCAAGCAAAGATGGGATTCAGTCTTACACAATAGTTACTTCGGGACAACGTTCCCTAACACGAGAGAGTAAATCATTCAAATATTCTTCCATATCACGAAGCCGAGAATCCTAGAGAATATTCGACTTATTGATAATTCATTCGAACCTTTACGCGAGCTTCCTTTTTCAGTTTATCGATTTTTGCAAGTGGATCTTGTCGATGCGCCGCATCATGCATATCATAGGAAACAGTCTAAATAGTCAGATATATTATAAACCGTCGCCGCTAAATGTTTCACGCTTTTACAATAAAAAAAATAAGGTCATTCAAACCTGGTTTCTGTGATTAGGGCTGATTCCCGAGCTAGTAATAGACGGTGGACGAGCCGCATGTGGTGGTGATTGAAAGCTTTCCGCTGTCGATAATGTTGAAATCTCCGCACCCTAAAAATACTACATAATTTAGGTGTTTAAGTCATTAACCTATTTTAACTTATTAGTCTTTATTAAACGCGCAAAGAGCAAAATGCTCACCGTGGTGGGGCTTGTCGGCTCATAATAAATCTCATTGTGCAAGTAATCAAGGGATTCGTCGCGTTTAATGATCGACTTCACCTCGGCTTTGTTATTTTCTCTTAATGTTTCATCTGGATCTTTTTCTTGCATATCCGTTGATAACTTAAGTGAAAGTCATTCGATAGATATTAACAAAATCAAAAAACCTGTTTGAATGAGTTTTGGCTCCATCGTTGACTGTTTTTGCTTTTTCTTCCCAAACAAACGTGAAATCGTCCCTCCTTTGCTCACCTAATATAAAAAGTTATAAAGTTTCAATTGAGCTGTAAACCTTGCTGCTTGTGGAAGTTGCTGAAACGTCAGAAATACCACTGGCGATCCTCAGGTTGTCGGGGTCATTTTGGTGTCGTAACTTCCCCTAACTTGATCTTTCCTTTGATTTTGTCAAGAATCGAATCTAAAGTTAGGTAATTACTCAAACACAAAATAAGCTTCTGCCAAAAGCTCAAGGAAACGTGTTTTTTCGATTTTAAAATTACTCTTAAAAGCTGACCTTTGCGTCCAATAATGTTCAGAGATTGATTTGAGATTGAAAGATTGGATTTCTCAAGACGAAATTCGAATCTCAATAAAAACCTCTCCTGGATACTTTTTTTCGCTGGCTTTCTTCCGAAGCAGATACCTAAAACAAAAACGATACAAATTTTTATGTTTGTTGAATGTCACCGCCTCGTCACTCCTCTGATTGCTGTTGCCTTATCCAACGGCACCTCCACTCGACCGATTACATCATTCCGACCAATCCGCAATTTGTGCTGGACACACCCCATTAGTTCTGCAGTCGGGTCGTTCATCTTGCTAAATTATACAATTGATAGTAGTAAAGCAAATTAAACAATTCCATGTGCTCTTCCCAGTGGCACTCTCCTTCCGTGTGTATGGACTCGGTGACCGCACGACTACGCAGATTACTCTAGAATATTTTGTTTTATGCATGAAAACTGTCAAACCATGCATAGTCACTGTTACCAGGGGCCTCCATAGTTGAGTGGCTTTTCAAATAGAGTCCACGAGCACTGATCACTAAACATCAATCTTACATTTGCTACATGACCGCGATTTTACCTGACACTAGAAGAACTTTGGCTTCCATCCTTTGATTTTCTAAATAGATTGCCAAGTAACTGCTTAACGTTCAACGAACACTCATTCACATGAGTAGATAAATAGGAAAGCAACCCACAAGTCTCCGAGTTCAGTTTGATCAGTTATAAAAATTTATTTCAAATAACAACAAGTAACAGAAATCAACAACAAAACAAAACAATCAACAAAAGATTCAAGAGTTTATATTAAACTATCAAACATCTAGCTATTGATCTGTGGAACTTCTCCTTGGTCATATGTTAGCGGCAGGACAAATATCTAAAGCATGAATAACATTTATTTGCATACGAGTGTAGTCTGAGAACGGTTGATCCATCAACGGCAGAACAACTCATACATAGATGCTGTTTGTGCAAAATCAAAGCTTATTTTGTGCTTCCGAGTCGATCCACCATCTACCGAACCTGTGTTCTTGCCCTTTAGCGCAGGATACAAAATTGTCATCATTTGAGAAGCGATTTGATTGATGAAACCTTTCTAAAACAGATCAATAACTATTAAAGAAAAAGGTTAAATACCATTTCGTACGTGTAACTCAAAAGAAGAGTTTTCTAGTCATCAGCAACGCGCCAGAAACGTAATTCGCCATTATTTGAGCCGGATGCCCCTAGATCGGTAAATGGGTTAGCTGCAACAGACACCTAAATGAAGCGCTCACACTAAAGTTTTATGAAAAGCTTATCAAAAAATTGCTAACAAACTTACAACCCAAAAAGGTTCCTGTTTGTTATTGCGATCGTGAGCAAACTGCTTGACAGTTCTAGGCTTCTTCTTAAATATTGACCAGACACATGACGATCTAAAATTGCTAAACAATGAAGTCTAAGCGCAAGCTATTTACCCATCAGCTGATCCGCTAACAAAATGGTTTTCATTGAGCATCGCAACGCAATCAATACTTCCGCAATCGTGAGAGCCATTTAGAACCTGAAACATTTTATTCAGTACGAGGCAACAACTTACTAGCTGACTTTCCGTATCGACCTTCCACAATCTAACTGATCAATCCTGACCTCCCAACTTACGATACGTTCTTTGTTCAAGCAGTCAATTGACAGCACCGCTTCCTGGTGACCAAACATCGTGTCAAGCAAGCCCATCTGTTTCAAATCCCAAAGCTAAAACAACAACAACAACAAAAAGATAAGCGAGTCGTTTCAAAGATACCTTGACCTTAAAAAAATATCCTGACCTAATGTTTGTTTGAGTAAGTTTTTGTAAATTGAAATAAACCTCGGGTTTTCTGGTCAATATTTGAATGCGATTATAGAGTGTAGTGGAATAATTACGGTAGTATGCTAGTTCCTTCTGGAGTAAGTTGTGCAGAATTGCTAATAGTTGTGTCGGGGTTGGGGGTTTACTGTAGATTACGAGTTATTTTTGCGTTGATGATTCACAAGAAGTTGCACAAAATAAGGTCCCATTTATCCCACTTCCCGACTTTGCCGCGAAAACGCCCTTTTCATCAACTAAGAAACGTTCAGTTAATAAATAGAAAATTTTGGGCCTGTAACGCCAGAAGTATATAACCACGGATAATAGCCAAAAATTCGCTTCTCGCCATTTCTTTTTCTCAATTTTGAAAGCCGCCTGCCCCCCCTTTTAATTTGTTTGCTATATTTCGTTTTGCTTTTTTTTTCAATTTGATTTAGAAAATGAATATTTAGTGGTCAAAAATAGATTTGACCTTGAAAATTCCCCAATATTCGATAGCTTGAGCCCCATGTATTGAAGCGCACTATAGAAGCGCACTATAGAAGCGCACTATAGAAGCGCGCGCCGGTTTGGTATTTCTTTAAGCTTTAGTAACTGTTTCCTAGCTATTTCAAGCATTTACCATTCAAGTTCAAGAAAAACCTGTTTACAAACTGCCCCCCCAACTGCTATAGCACCGAATAGAGATGAATGTAATGTAGAGATGAATGTACAAACTGCCCCCCCTTTAATTTGTTTGCTATATTTCGTTTTCCATTTTCATTTTCCTAGACTCTCGTTGTTTTTCGGAATCTACGCATAAAACTATCCCAGGAGAAGTGCGTTTGAAGAAAAAAAAAGTTCCCCAACTACCTTAGTACCCTCTATTCAGCCAGAGCGCACTAATTCTTGCTTCTAGGGTCTTTAATGATTCTTGAAATTCTTTAAATATTCTTGGTTTGGTATTTCTTTAAGCTTTAGTAACTGTTTTCTAGCTATTTCAAGCATTTTTCATTCAAGTTCAAGAAAAACCTGTTTACAAACTGCCCCCCCCGACTGCTATAGCACCGAATAGAGATGAATGTACACTTTTTGTTAAACTGATGTTTGCGGTCATTTTGAGACCAAAATCGTGTTAATTGGTCAATTCACAAAAAAGTTATAACAGTTTGAAGACAAAAACGACGGGGGATAAGCCTGAATCTTGAATTCGGGATTGTAAAGGACTAATTTTGAGACCGGAAATCGATTCCTCACCCCAAAACTAGTGAAAATAGGTATAAAAAATCAAGGAAAATCGTCTACTTGAGGAAAAGTTATGAGAAACATAGTTTCACCAAAACCAAAAGACCAAAGGTTCTCACCCTAACAAGACTTATCCCCTCCCCCCGTAAGTCGGACTCACAGGGGTAGGTCAGAACTTTTGATTTTTCGAATTGCGGTAATGCGTTTCCGCTGTTCCTTTTTGATTCCGACTAATTTTGGGGTGGGGAATCGATTTTCGGTCTCAAAATTAGAGTCAAAAAAATCTACTCTCTGGCCTTCCCTAGTTTTCTGTTATCATCGAGTGGTGGAGGGCCAAATACAGGCAAATCTGGTCGTCTCTATGTAAAATGACCAATTTTGGTGATATCTTTTAATTTTCAGGCACAAGAATGCCGGTTGAAACGCGTGGGGGAAAGCGAAGAATGCTGGAGGAGAAGGAGAGGAGAAAACGAGAAGATGGAGTGATATGGATCGAGGATTTCCCGTTGGAACTGATCGAGGAGATCGTCAGACATCTCGACCCCAGAGATGTGCCAAAGTTGATGATGGTGAACAAAAGACTCTATTCGGGCTATGTGAAGGATGAATCGATCATTCTTGGGGATCACGTGGATTTCCTCATCGTGGTGGATAATGGTGCTAGCATTTATAAACACCCCGATTCACAGGTGTTAGAGCTGGATTTCGGACGCCATCTTCATTGGATTAAACGAGTGACTTCATGTGACGATTTGGCGTGTGTGATGAGCTGGGACGGAACCAATGAAGCTAGTAAAATAATCCTGAATCAGTTGAAGTCCGTGAATCGTCTCATGACATTGAGGGGCCTACCGTCAGTCACTGCTCTCACAAAGTTCTTTACCCATTTTCATGCATCCGTCAACGATTATGCAGAGCTAGAGATTGAACTCGATTCATTCCAAGAAGATCAATCACTCAGCGATCTTCTCGGAAATTTCATTGAAAAGCAACTAGCGGATTGTGGGGGTATCCGACTGGGATGTGACTTTGACGAGCTGATTCACGTTTGCTATCAGGCTCTGAAAAAGACTCGGGTTAAATGGGCCAGTGCGATGAAGAGTAATGGCTTCTTGGACATTCAATGGGTCGTCAAGCATGGGATCCCAAGCAAAAACCCAGAAGCTAGTTTCCAAACTGGCACCTGGGGTTCACTCGAAAGGAATAAGATCATTTCGTTTCTCACGAAATATCCTGGAATTATACAAGCCGTTGGAGAAAATTGTGTGTCTTTGCTTGAACAGGCTAAATATTTGTGGGAAGATGCAATGATAATTTATGACAGGAATGTTTTGTGCTTCCGACAAAAAATTGACTGGACCAAGGATTGCATTTACGTAATTAACTATTGTGGTGATGAGCGTGATGAGCGTGATTTGACCAAAGTTTTCGTCTTCTACATACCTTCGACTTCTACCTCAATGAAATGATCGTTTGTTGCGAATTTCTGTTGAGTTTCACTTGTCGTTTTTGGGGTAATTTACGGATAATGGTCTTGCGAATCAGTTCAACTAAATTTGGCCTTACTCATGGTGCACCAAATAATCCTTTTGCAATTCCGTTATCCGTAAAGTATCTATTATTCTTAGCCACAATGCATTGATAGCTTTTTGGTATCTTGCGCCGTTTCATCGATCATTTCTTCGTAATATTAATTTCCGTATTTTTCTCTTATTACGTTTTTCTTTTGATTAAAAATAAATTTATAGCTGCTTATGCTCAAAAATGATTTTTGCCGGTTTAACAACCGCTCGATTTCACTTTTCTTCACCGAACTTCATCGATTTGCTTATTTTGAAAGCTCTCTTGCATCTAAGAATGCCTTAAATGCGGTATTAAAACGAGAGTGCATTTACACCTGAAATAGAATTTTTTGATTTGCATTCAAAATTCGGGTACTAATTACACATTTCGAGTGTCCTCCTAGGAGTTTTTAGGACTTTGTTTTTTTCTCGCTTATTTCGCAATATTTTTTATTTTTTTGTCCAAGTGAGACCAAAAACCGTGACGCAAGTCAGCAAAGAGCCGCCCGGGGACGGCAGAATGGGCGAGAAGTAGCCATTGGGAACAAAAGTGGGGATTCTACAGAGTGATGATCAACTTTTTGTTGTTTTTAGGAAATGTGATCCAGTCATCGAGCTTCTTGGACGCTTTGGGTGGATCGACGACGGAAAAGGAAAAGAAACGACCACGAATAGTGAATGAAAGGAAGAAAAGACAATGGAGTGATGAGGATCTTTTGGTGGGAAAGCTTTGGGATTTTGAAAACTTTAAGTTCTGGTAGGATTGTTGTGATTGCAATGTCTTTATTTTAAGCAGTGTTTGTTGTATTCAAATCTCGGGAATCCAGATGCAGAGAATTTGTTGGAGAAAGCGGTAGTGGAATACATGGAAATGGACCAAAGAGCCCACCGGAAGGCAGGACGCATACACCAACCTCATCACTACGTCCAGAAAGGATCACCAAGACCAGGTATGGTAGTTCAAGTGTTAACTTCTGCAGAATCTACGTTGTCAATTTGCACAACAAAGTATACACTGGCAGCAGTTGGCACGATTAAAGACTGCCTTTTACTTGTTTATCAGATTGCTATACTTAAAATCATGTACTGAGGATACTTGCTAGCTGTTGAAAGCTTAGAATTTGACAATTAGTGTAGTAAAACTTTAAAACTAAAGTGTTTGAAAGGCCTCTGGATCAAAGATTTAACTTTTGTCTCGTTTAGATTTGCCGATGATCACAGTCGACCCTTGTCGATGTGCGTTACTTCGAGGTGGAGGACGGTGAAAGAAGTAAAGCCGTGCGAAAGCGAAAGAATGAACATCTGCTCATTTCAGTCAATGCCAACACGCTTACTCATGAGCAGATTCGGGCAATGGAGGTGCAAATGGAGAAGAAGTAAGGAATTTTGAGAGTTTACCATCAATTCATCTGGTTGATATTTTTGTTTAGCGCTTTGGGAAAACACGGCCCCGCCGCTTCAGCTAAATCGAAAATGAAACAAGAATTTCCGGGGGATGATCCAGGGGAGGGATACACCATGGATGCAGTCGGAAATATCGAGAATAAAGTATGAAAGTCTTCTTGTATATACTTTATTCAAGATAAGGTGGTGGATTTAAACTCACAAGAATCCAAAAAATAAGCATTGACTAGAAAAAAGAGAAACATGTTTGTTTTTTAAGAAATCTTGGTTTCAAATCGGATCTTAAGAGTTAAGATGGTATTAAAGCGATCACTTTATTTTATAAACTGTTTATTTGAGGCTAAATTCTTGTTAAGCTAATAGCTTAGGGGCAACAGTGTATTTTTAGGCCGAATTCGTTTAACAGTCGAAATTTTAATGTGAATGGAGTAATGTGTCTTTCCTAAATCCGTTCAATTCACACCTTTTTAGTGGTGTCACTCGCTTTGAGGAACCGTCATTGGTTGACGCTCGTGCAGCGGATCGACATCGTCCAAAAGCGACCCCATTGACTTGCCCAGTCCAGCAGCCAGCCATAACAACTGTGGCGGCAGCACAAGCTTCAACTTCATCATCTCAATCAAAAACACCTGCAATTTTTTGTTATCCTCGAGTGACGGAGGGTCAAATGCAGGTGAGTTCATTTGGTGAGTTTGCCAGTTCTTTTGGTGTTCCGACTCCGCTACAATTCGTGAGTTTCGTCAGTTGCAAAAATTGAGGTGAAACCCTTAAAATCAAAGTCGAAACGCCTAGTTCAAAGCGAAATGCTTTCAGACTTTTGCAATGACTCTTTTTCTGTATTTGAAAACGGAAAAAGAAGTCGCTGAGCAGTTCAAATGTGGCTTGAGGACGGTTTCTCGACTGCTTGCAAAGTCCAAGACTACTGGAAATCCAAAAGAACTGGCGAACTGGCCATTTTCTTAGACAACCGTACAACATAAAGCAACTATTCGTTAGTGCTTTGGCTCAAGATTTGAACTGAATGAAGTCCAAAATTTCAGTGGTTCTGTTCATCTTCTCACCCTCGAAGGTCTCAAGCTCACTACTATTACCCGATATCTCGATACGGGACTTTCAACGAGGTTTCTTTTGATTTTAGTTCAGTTTTGAAGCATGGCTCAGGAAGCTCCAGTGGACGTGGTGAACTCCATGACATAGCACCTAAGGTAAACAAGATTAGCAAGCATCGAAGAAAATGCTCCTCACCCCATAGCATAATTGATCCTCCTTGTATATGGAAGTTTGTATTCTCTCTATGGCGGACTTGGAAGATGAGACAGAAGGTAAATTGTGATATAAATATTTCTCATATAAATATATTTTCTCAATATTTGACAATGGTTTCGCAACTTCTCAACAATGGCATGACTTCCTCTTCAAGAAGTTATTTATTTCCTGCTTAGGTGATTGGAAGAAACGACATGCGGCCATTTTCACACTATCGAGAATTGGCGAGGGTTGCAAGTCGGTGATGGAGGCAAAGATTGTTGAGATTGTTGGCAAAGTTATCCCGTATCTCCTTGATGAGGTTTGTTACTTGGCAGAAAGTTATACAAATTTCGGTTTTAGCATCCGCGTGTTTGTTACGCACCGTGCAACGCCTTGGGTAAGAGTTATTCCTTCTAACAAAGTGGTTAAGTTTATTTTTAGGACAAATGTCGACCGATTTTGAGCCTACTCTTCAGAAGAAATGCCACGAGGTTTTAAAGAGTTTTAATTTTGAATTCGTACCTTTGTATTAGGTTGTACCTGCTCTTGTTCACACTCTATTGTACTTATCGGTGATGCGTGTGGCCGCACATGCTGGTGCAGCTCTGGTCAACTTCAGCGAGGAGTGCCCCAAGAACACCATCTCCAATTATTTACCTGATATGAGTATTATCTAACTTTAATCAAACGAGCTATTATTTTAGATGATGAGCTCCTTCGAGCAAGTTTTGGAAGCGACTTTCAAACATCGACTTGAGAAAAACAAGAAATTGGTTATCGAGCAAGTGATAACAACTATTGCGTCAGGTTTTATGATCGAAACGTACCTTTTTAGAAGTGATGTTATTGAAGTGGCGGATGCGGCTCAGACTGAATTCATTCAAAATTACGATCGAATGATTGGGCCCCTAAAGTTCATCTTGCAAAACTCGAGTGGCGACGACTACAAGGTATCCCATTTATATTTTAACTTCTTTAAGTCCGTTTAGCTACTTCGAGGCAAGACGATCGAATGTGTGTCACAAATTGGGCCTCCTGTTGGGCGGGAGAAGTTTGCAAATGACGGGCAGGAAATTATGAACAGGCTTGCTGATACAATGTTGGTTTATGAATGCTGTTGTCCTTAGTGAAGTTTCTTTAGGCCAATCTTCCACCTGATAATCCACAAACCACTTACAGGATCAGCTCATGGACCCGCATTTGCAAGGTAATTTACCGGAGGGTTTTAGGTTCTTGGACCATTCTCTACATCGGGTATGCTCCCGAAATGACTGTTGTTGACGGTATGTCGCTGTTATCAAATGTTCGAAGAGCATAGATTGTAGACTCGGAAGCCAATGAAAATGATCATGCATGGTCGTTCACGACTGTTGATGACAATCGCCCGTTCGGAATCAGAACGGCTGGAATTGAGGAAAAGACTTGCGAAATGCTCGTCTGCTAGGCTAGAGAGTTGAAAGGTATGCAAGCTTGGGACTATTGATTCGAATTCTATGCACTTTTAGAACTGTTTGGTCCTTAAGCCTGGCAAGTGCTGCCACATGTCCTCAAGAATTTGAAGTTCGTGTCCCATGAAGGTTTGTTAACACATGAATTAATATTTACGAATGAACTTCGGAGTCAGGGAGTCATCGGCTGAAATGTTGCCAGCGTTTTTGGAGTGTTTCAAGGAACAAGGACCTGAAGTAATGTATCCACTCGGGCAGGTGGAGCTTTTTTTCTAAGAATGCATTTTGACTAAATACTTGTTTAGACCTACTATGCGACTATGGAGCACATTGGATTCCGAGAACGATCTAGATGTCCTTGCGGAACAAATGAATTCCATCGCCGAAGCTGTCACATTGCTTGGAACTGTCACATTGCTGTCAGTTGACGAAGTTCGAGGAACGCCGTAATCAACGAGAAGCTAAAGAGGTTGGCTATCAAGTCTAAACTAGCGAAGTCTTTTTGTTTGTTGGTGTATGAAGATGCTGATCCAGAAGACGCACACAATAAGGCTGATGAAGATCAAGAAAGTGATGCTAACTTGCTTGGATGCGTGTCGAATCTCTTTCATGCTTGCTTTAAGGTTGACTTTTAGATCAATTCCAAAGTTTAAATGGTTAATTTTAGTCGTTCGGTCCAACTTTTTATCCAACGGTTCAATCGATGGTGGAGTGCTTAAAAGATCAGCACCCTGAAGTGCGACAGGCTACGGCGTATGGATTTGTCAAGGAAAAACTGCCGTGCTAACTTTATTTTTTACTTTAGAAGTTATGGCTCTTCGGGGCACACTGTTCACCGATATCTGCGTGCAGTGCTTCTACTTTTGGCTGAAATGATTTCTCAACCTGATGCTCGTGCAGCTGAGGAAGGTTTGTAACTGGCAGCAAATACAGAAGTAACTTTATTTTGAGGCACCAGTGCTACCGAGAACGCTATTTCTGCTGTCGCAAAGATCTTGAAGCACTGTGGACGTCAAATTGATCACGCTCAAGTATGGTTTAAGAATGATCAAGTTTCCAAAAGTGTTTAGGCTATAAGTTATTTACGGTTTTTCAATTTGAATTTTTACTCGAGGTCTTGGGAGAAAACAACAGCGGTTTGCCTCTTATTTGTCGAATAGTTGTGCTATATTTATTTAGTATATTTATATTTAGTTATAATATTTATTTATATTTAGCAAATATATTTAGTTATAACAAACAAAGAATATTGCCATATTGCCAACAAAGCTCGTACATGTATTAAGCGAGGAAGGATTAGAAGAAAAATTAGATTCGCATTTATGCAGTTCGAGCCGAGTCGTTGTTATGCGTACTTTTGATGGCTCTAAAACGGCAATATTTTCAGAAAATGAAGTTTTGCGGTGTATTCTGATTTTTTTATTTTTTTTTTTATCTGATTCCGATTTGTTAAACGCACTCTTTCTGGTGCACTGAATTCTTTACTTTTCTTCATTTTTCATCCTCTTATTCGTACGCCAAATGAGGCACGTTTGCGGCACTTCAAAGTACAAATTTTTGCAAAAAACGAGGTGTAGCGGCCACAGTTTTCCCCAACCCAGACAACAGCTACAGTACTTCTACAGTAGCTACGTACGCCTATAGTAGCCTACAGTAGCCTTTGATAGGATTCTTTGAGATGATAACCGATGCTAACTACTCAGTTTAAAGATGACAACTTTAGGGCATCAAATGGGTGACAAACCTTTGTGTCCCTTGTGCAAATGGGCTAGGGAATATGATGAGAAAATGACGAGGAAACGAGCCGGAAAAAGCTCCCAGAAAAACGAGAAACCTAATGAACATTGTCGAGAAGTGAATGAGTAAGAAGATTTTTTTTTTGATTTTCATTGATGAAAATTTTGATCTTCGTGAACAATAACGGCCTCATACCGTAAATTTTCGAAGGCTTATAGGCAACTAAAACGGTCGATTTGGTGACGATTTTATGGTTTCCATTTTTTCGCAAAGACTCAACCCTCAAATCCCCCAAAAGATCTCATCGTTAGCTACATTTTCCGACCGCGCATTGATGGATTCTGAAAAGCGCCGCTAGAGATTTTGAGCAATTCAGGCAAAAGCGATGGTTGCACTAATAGAGAAATAGAAAAAATGATCAATAATCCGGCCGCCGGGATTGAACCCTCCACTGCTCGACTAAGAAACTCGACTCTAAAATACCTGGCGATTGTATACGTGGTATAATTGGTATAATAGTAGTAAAGCAAATTAAACAATTCCATGTGCTCTTCCCAGTGGCACTCTCCTTCCGTGTGTATGGACTCGGTGACAGCACGACTACGCAGATTACTCTAGAATATTTTGTTTTATGCATGAAAACTGTCAAACCATGCATAGTCACTGTTACCAGGGGCCTCCATAGTTGAGTGGCCTTTCAAATAGAGTCCACGA